GTGCACTTCAACAGCTCTTGACCAGCTTTTCACCTACCAGCATCCCCAAGTCTTTCTTGGCAGGGCTGTTCTCAATCCCTTAATCCCTCAGCCTGTGCTGATACTGGGGTTGCCCTGACCCAGGTGCAGGACACTGTACTTGGCCTTGTTAAACCCCATGAGTTTCATATGGGCCCACTTCTCTTGTCCTGGTGGGGTCACACTGTGATATACAAGTCTGTGAAAAGAAGTTCTAGTCCAAAGGTACATAAAAGAAATTCTAAGTTTAGTCAAGGAGAGAAATGTCTTTCTGCATTTCCTCCATAGGTGACAAGAACATCGAAATATCAGCACAACAGATAGGCCCCAGCTGCAGGGATCCAAAGCATCATAAAGAAGGCACTGAGATAAGGCTGTAAGAAGTGCCCTGTATGCACACACTATATACATTCCACATCTCCACCTCTAGCTGCTTTTTCTTAGCTGCTCTTCATCATCGCTGGAAGCTAATTAGTTTAAGGCCACAGAAAACACCTATTATAAGCTAAATGGGAGAGAGAAGGCATCCCATCCTATCAAATTAATACAAGGGAATGTAAGTTGGGAAGGACACAGAGGAAGGGATGAAATTAAGGGTTTCTAAACTTAATCCTTCCTCAAAGTGACTCTGCTAATTCCTCTTGTAGTGCCTGTAGTCCCATTTTGGAGGACATGCAGGAGGTAAGGGCATGGGAAGGTGGCCATGGTATGGAGTCCCACCTAGCACAGGATCCTGCTGAGGGCTAAACACTCTCCTTGGCCAGAGAACTGGAAATGAGGAAGGGATCTTGACATGAAAAAGGAAAGTCAGATAAAAGGCAAGGAACTGTCATAGTGATTTTCATCCATAGGCCTGGGGGCTTTTTTCACCACAAGAGCCTCAGCTGAAGGGCTTTTCTGCTCCCAAACTCAAACCCTCATCAAGTTTTTTGTTTGTTTGTTTACTTTTCAACAGGGTAAAAATACAACACAGAGACTGATCCTTAAGACTAATCCTTAACATTTTTTCAGATGTTGCTCCAAGAGGTCTCCCTTGCTTTACTGCGGTGCAACTGGAATAAACTCCAGTCTCTTGAAAAGAACTTCAGTTTCAAGACTATGCTTTTTTTTTCAGTGGACCAGTGAAGGTTCCATTTGCCCTTCCCAGGGCTGATCCCCAGCAACATGCTTCCCCATGCCACCTCAGGCTGATTAAGAGTCTCTTGCCCTGGTAGAACTGGGGGAAGTTTGGTCTCCATGTTCATACAAACTCTGCCCTCCCTCAGACTGTCAACAATGTCTCCAGCCAGCGGTGCCCACTATTTATTTTGATAGTCATTGTTTACTACAAACAGAATTACATGCCTAAACCCATTTTGCAAAGACTAAGAAAAAAACATCTGCTAAGCACAGCACAGCCTCTGACAGGACTCTCACTAGCAGAGGTCAAAGGGGTGATGCTGCTGCACAGCATTAGAGTCACATGGTCATGGTTTTCCTGAAGTTGTCCTGCAGAGCAGTCACGGAATTGAATGTAGAAGCCAGTTGTAAAACCAACAATCCAAACACAATCCAAAGTCTCTGCCTGTCCCACTGCTCAACTCTGCATACACACAGGCCACCCAAACCTCTCTGAAAGAGCACACCAGAAACCTGTCTTCTTGTGAATTAATTATAACCAGAGGAGCCTGAAGTGTAGACTGGAAACCAAACCCTCGTGTTCCAATCACACAGAAACATTCCCAATATGCTAATACAGGTCCCAGATTTAGCCACTAGAAGGGCACTAGCAGGCAGTATTCCCAGACAATCCTGTTGTCCATCGACTACATCCCTAACAGCTGACAACTAAAATAGGAGGGCAGCTTTGGAGGCTGTATTGTGAGGGCACTGAGCTCTCAGCTCCTGCTGGATTAAAAAATACAAAGGGATGCACAGCACTTCACAAAGGCTAAAAAGATCTAGATATAAGCTGCAAGGAATAAAATGCATATTGAGGTGAATAACTGACGAATAACTCAATATCTAAAGTGAATGACTTGAAATCTTTATGAAGGTAGATTCCCTTAAAGAATTCTCACCATACTACCTTGGTACCTCCATAAGGCCCTGAAACTTGCCTTTATGTTGACTTGTGAACTCTGTGATTTGCAACCTCAGTTTCTAGAAACTGCCCTTCTCTTCAGTTGCTGAGCCACTGCCATGACTTAAGAATAAAGATGGTTACTTGTTAAATTAGAGGTCAATTAACCCCACTAGTAGATGATGCCTCTTGCAATAACTGTTCTCAGTGGGTACCACTCTTCCTGTACAGAGACAGAAGAGGAAATGAGGTCTCCGTTGCCTCTGGATGTTCTCTCGGGTACATGACACACAGCCCTGCGTATAAAATGTCAAAACATCCCTGTCGGAGACTCACTGCCTGCTAAAACTGTGAAGATCTCACAGCACCGTGGATTGCTGTTGACAGAACAGCAGCGCCCAACATAACACATGCCTTGTTAGCAAACTGGAAGCCTCTCAGTAGTCTGGGGTGAGGGAATAATAGAGGAAGCCAACACGACACAAGCCAGGCCTGTGGAGAATAGCAAGTGAACGAACCTTGGCGGAGAGTCCAAGCAAAGCCTCAGACTAGCTCTTTTTTCCTCCCTTTCAAACTCTCTCTTCTGCAAACATGGGCAGTTTTCAATGAGCGCTTCCCACCATGTAACTCAGCTGCTGAAATCAGCAGCATTTGCACCAGAAATTCCCACAACTGGCACAGCTGGCCTGCGCAAAGCCTGGGAACACCCAACTGCTAGTTTTCAGACAAGCTAGACCTAAGGCTGACCATGCCACCGTGACTCTCCCCCAAGCAGGCAGCTGTGTCCTTGCTTTTTGGCACTCCTCCATGCCACAGAGCTCCCCAGCCAGCGGCAGGACACCACAGGCACACCAAGCCAGGCCACGAGCAGGCACACAGGTGGGCTCTGAGGCAGGGGGAGGCCCGTACCACTGTGGTTCTTGGCTGTGGCTTCCTCTGTCCCTGCCTTCCACTGCCCCCATAAACCACTTTCATGCTCCAGCAGAGCGCTATGACATCTCAGCATGGCGAATGCTGGGCCATCCCAGGGAGCCAGAACTGCTTTGGCAAGGCTGCGAAACAAAAGAAACATCAGCCTCAGAAATGCTTCTTTATTTGCTGCTGCTGAAGAAACAAAACCTTTATGTGCAGTAACTTTACTTTAAACAATAACATTTGTGGATCTTAACCTTTTGCATCTGGTGTTCAAAATATGCCCTGCTTTTTTTCCACGTGAAAGACTACAGATCTTATTTTTGTTTAGGTGCTGGTGTGCAACGCTGCCAGAGAAGTGCATTCAAGCTGGCGCAGACCAAAACTGGTGAGCCACCCAAATTATTGTTGGGTGGTTCAGTCCCTCTCTATTTCAAGAAGCCTCTGGGTATAATGACAGGAAGCTTGCAGGCAATTTTAAGCCAAACCTCAGAGAGGCTGGCATTCCGTCTGTGTTAAAACACTCCTTATTAAAAGCTGTCCAGTCCGGATTCTGGGTGGAACTTTGATATCTGCATGGAGCAAAGAATAAGGGGCACGTTTGCAAAATCAATTGTGCAGTTTTTATATTTACTGCACGTTTACCACATATGTCATTTATTACACAGTGGAAAACCGTTAAATGCACAGTAGTTGTGCCAAGTGGCATTATGCTTTTAACAGCTTTATTCGTTTAACAGCTCCAGTTCTCATTATATTTTGCCATGTGGTACATGAGATTTTTATGCATTTAACAGTTTAAGAGGGTTCCATGGTATTTTCCTTTTATGTATTTCATACTGAGCCTGGGATTTGGTTTGGGGGGTAGCGGGACTGCAACCCCTTTACCCTGACAAGAGAAAGCAAAACGCAAAGAAAATTAATGATTACATTAAGAAGGAAAAATTAATCAGATCTCCATCTGTCAGGACATAAGTACCTGTAAGAAGGACAAGGCTTTCCCATGTGCTTTGATAGCCTTTGATGCTTTCTTTATATGCCTTTCAACTGCTTATTTTACATCTACTTTAATGACTAAAATGTTGCTTCCCTGCACAGAGGGGAGTGTGTGTTTTGCAGAGTGCATACACCTAGATTTTTTTACCCCACTCTCTCATTTTCACGTGCACATTTGTGCATTTTTGTGTGCATACTGATGCCCTCTCCTAGCTGAACTGAATAATTTCATCCATGATCAGAAGCAACTCTTTTCATTCAGTAAACAATTCCTTCCAACAATCTCCAATCTACTTGCTGCCCTTCAAAAAAAATCTGTCTGTCCTTCTTTCCACAAAATCTCTTCTGATGCATTATATTTTTTTAAAGAGCTGGATGAAATTTTTAAATTAATGGATTCTCTTCAAGAATTTCACCCTGACCTAGGTTTGCTCACATGTATTTTTTACACCCAAGGCAGAAATTAATCCAGCAGAACTCACTGCAGTGCCTTCTCATGCCTTTTTGTAAAAATCATTGGATCTGATGTGAATTATTCACATGGCAATACCGTATGCAGCACATACAACATGCTAAAAAGGAAACACCTGCCTAATATGCTGTTTCCCATTGCCTTCTCTCAGTTAACCACTTGAGAAAGCAATTTCATTACCTGCTGAATGAGTAGGATACCACCATTTTGGAAGTTCCTTGTCCTACTAGCAGAGGTGTAAGTTATATACCACATGTGGGAAAAGACAGACATGTTTGTCCAAAAGGGGAGAAAAAGCTTGGCTGTGAACTGACCCTTTCCTCAGCCTCTTTTAAAAGGGAAAAGGAAACCACTTAAGCAGGCAAAAGCCAAACATGACAGGTTCCCCAGAGATCAAAATTATTATTATTGTAGGAACAGATGTAATTTTATTGGTGGGAGGAAGAGATGGATCTAGTCCCAAATCCAGAGCTTGCTTTAAAAACAAAACCCCAGAATGCCCCACAACAATGAAATCCCCTATACCCCTATACCACTCACCTGACTTTTATTGGCAGCCACTTTGGCAAATAGAGCTTGAGATACCTTGGCCCTTTTCATCTCCTGTTGGATCTCATCATAAATGGCAGCTGTGATGTTGACGTTGGTGCTGTCCGCCTTAATGGGGAGGTCTGTTGTTGGTGTCGAGGTTTTGGCCTACCAAGAGACCATGAAAATAATAATTAAAAAAGTGCTGCTTTCAGCCCAGCCATCTGTGCAGAAATTATCAAAGGATTTCAGTCAGCTGATGCCAAACTGCATTAGCTACAGAGGGACACTTCCTGTCCATTATTCTAATCAGGTTAATTGTGATTGGAAATAATTGCAGTGCATTCCTATAGGACATGCAAGGCCCTGTCAAGTCTCCCCCTCTCCCAGCATGTTTATTGAGCAGCTCAACAACAGCATAGGTAGCTGGGGCACTGGGCTGCAGGCACACGCTGACATTGGCTTTGCCAGCCAGCTACTGCAGCACAGCCACCAGGCTCTACCTTCTCCCCCTCTCTCTAAAAGTGGCCTACACCTTAGAGGAAGAGCCAATTCTCCCAGAAAAAATGAGTAAATGGGTAGAGGTCTCTAAATAATAAATTATTACTCAATTTAATGCACTCCCTCAAGTCTCCCTCATCCTTTATTAAAACTATACGTATGTCACTTGAGTATGTATGGTTTCCCAGCCTTATCATCATTATGCTAGCCAGACAGTCACCTAATTTCACCTAGGAAATCAGTGGAAATGAAAAAAAAAATCATTTCATAAAGCTGGGCTTTGGCATGCCTTAGATGTGCTGCCCTCATTCTCCTAAACTCATATCGAGATTTTGTGTATTCCACTGCACTCCTTTTAATTGAATGATTTCCCATCAGCTTCTGTGACAAATGAAGGACAATAATGGATGCTGCCAGTGCTTTCCCTAGGCTGGACTACCCCTGCAAGGCTTCTATCAATACAGTTCAGAAGACTGCTGCAGGATATCTGTTTCAAAGCCCCTTGGACTGCTGGTCCCCAGAATGCACTGGCAGGAGAGGGAGGGAGGGCAGCGGGATGTTCACTGAGTGCCCCCAGCACCAGCTGCCCCTTGGAGACAGATCTCATTTACTTTCCTGGGCTCAAAGAGGAGAGATACCAGGACTGATCATTGCACCCCTTAGACCTTTGAAAGGAAACGTGGGATACTGATAGAAAATCTGTTTTGTCTTGAGACGTAAAGGTCTTAGGAAAGAATACAACCTAAATGGCAAAGCTCACAGTTCCCAACAGACCCAAATCACCCATACACCCCAGTGACACTGATATTTGGCCCAATTACAAACCTTTTCAGCTGGATCCCATTTTTGTGTCAGAGTTGAAGTCTGCTAGAGTACATCTAATGTTAATTTTTAACTAGGCAGATATGCTCCAATGTTTATTTGTTAATAGGAAGGTTAACTAGGCAAAACCAAACCTTCTGAACTTCTTCTGTTTTGTTGTCCTCCAAATCTTCTTCCTGACATCTCTTCTGTACGGAGGCCATGTTAATAATGGAGCCAAATCAGTCAAGACAACACACTAGACTAATCACTCTTCCTTACAATTTCCAGATAAAGCCTTAACCAACCTCCATCTTCTCCCTTTCGAGGCTCAGCAGGCTCTGGGCTTGCTCCCTGCCTGTCACAGGCAGGACATGTGCAGAAAGGGTGTAAGATTTTCCTGTTCCCTGAGGGCAGCCCAGTGTGCAGGCAGAGGCAGCTGGACAGCAGCTGGGGCAGAGTGCAGCCACCATGGCCCAGGAGGCCAGGGCTAAACCACTGCCATGCACAGGCCATGAGCTGGGTACAGTGCTACACTGACTGACAGGGACACCCCGCTCTGAAATTCATGTTTACAGGTAGATGAGAGTTAGGGAAATTGTGGGAAATGTAAGAAAACAACAAGGAGTTCATGAAAAGGAAAAGGACTGTCCAAGTCTGTCAGGTGTGATTTAATGGAGATTTGTTTGGCATAAAAAAAGTCTTCCCAGGCATTGGAGCCTTTGGCTAGCACAGCAGCTGAGGTCACCATGGCCTCAAAGGCTGCTATGGATGTCTGAGATCCTGAGAAGAAAAAAATTAGCATGTAAAAAATTTTTAAAATATAACTCCATCCTGCATGGTTCTCCTACACTTCTAGGTCACAGTCACAGGTCAGGAAAAAGCCTGCCCTGCACACCATGAAAGCTGCACTATTTTTTATTTAATCACCAAAATAGGAAGGGCAAATACCAACCAATACTAAAATAAAGTATTTAATGTTAAAAGTCTAGATTAAAAGCTGGTTTTGATATCAAGGAGTCTACCACTATTGAAACATCTTATTGCCAACAGTGGGGGGGAAAAAAGAAAAAATGTTTGCAACCACAATGCCAGAGCACTGCAACTAGCCCCTTACTGCTAGGGTTCTGTGAGCACACAACAACTCCCAACAGCTCAGAGCATCTTCCCCACAGCAACTGTACCCCATTTTCTGGATCAATCTCTCGTTCTCACCTTGAGGCAGGTCCAGAGCCTCAGTTCACAGAAGGGTGGCTTGGGGCTGGCTCAGAGTCAAGGAGACCTGAGCTAGGTTACTCTGCATGCCCTTACACCTGCCTGCGTGACAGCCCCAGCAGGAGCATTTCCACAGGTATCTGCCACTCCTTGCTTACCCAGCACCCTCAATCCCAAAAGCCTTGCCGCAGGATATCGGTATCTATGGAAACTGTGTTTCCAATTGCCATTCCACCACCTTCTCTGCCCCACTGACACAGTTACTGCAAGGCTGGCCCAGCTCCTACCCCTGCTGCCCCAAAGCGCCCCGCTCCAGGGTAGCTAAGAGCAGCCGGGGAGCTGACGCTGCCGGAATCGCTGCGCTGCCTGTGAGGACGGCATTTGTCTCCTCACAACTAATACCAGGCATATGGGAAGTACAGTAGCCGTGCTGCCTGCCCAGGAGCGGGGAAGAGCCTCATTTGCAGAGGTGTCCAAGTTGTCAAAACAGCACCTGTGCTGACTGGTGCTGGCCCTCTGAGGGCTGGGGAAATGTTACACAGCGGGCACAAGGCAGGCATTGGTACACAAACCTTTGTGTGCTGCTTTTGCTGATCAAAAATCTCACAAAATTCTATTGGACTCTTCAAGCTGAAATAAGGCAAATATGTGATGGTTTATACTTCTAGACTACAGTTTTCTAACAACATTTAGCTCTTACAAAGGCAGGCAAAAAATTCCATTCTTTTAAATCATGTTCTAGCTGTGGCTAGAGCACAGGAAAATGACATATTTCAGCACAGGAATGCAATGGGGCAAGAGATCCAATTTTTTTTCTCACCAGATTGCATCTAAACTCTCAATTTCATTTCAGTGCTTGATTATAGTACAAAACCTATTGCAATAAATGTAAGCAGGAGTAAGCTAATTCTTTAATGAATCAATACCAATGCAGAAAGTGGCTACACTACTTAAATAGTAAAATAGTGTACCCACTATTAAAATCCCTATGTATTTTTATTTTCACCTAAAGGTACCTAAAAAAGATAAGGATACGATGAGTTTCCCGTGTAATGAAAATTCAGTGTCAAATTTGGTTTGGCAGGATAAGCTTGCTTTCAGTGAAAACAGTTCTTTACATCACATATTCGGTGAAGTGCACCTACATGTCTGGGTTAAACTGAACAACCTCAACAGTTTCTACAAAATCAACAGACCTTCTCTAAGGATGTTCAGTTTGAATGTAAAACTTCACTTCCCCAACAGTGCTTGCTTACTTACTTTTAGCAGCTGTGACTACAGAATTCAATGAGAAGTGATCACTGATATTATTAGAAGGATTACATAGGCCCATTTACTAAAGATCAGTAAAGTGCTAGAACTGACACATCACGTCTGTACTGTTAGAAAGTTCAGACTCAAGTCAGGCAAATGTCATGGCAGGAATTCATCAGCAGCCCTGTGCAAGCACCCTCACTTTGCAGAATACACATGTGGGACTGCATCAGCCTGGTACAAGGGAGGGCATGTCTATTGTGGATGCTCTTTCTTAGTGCAAAGAACAACCTACTCAGGGAAGAGTGGGCAGCAACAGCACGTTAATAAACACATGCAGTTAAGTGAATGAGATAACAGCTGCTTGGGAGCTGTAAGCATCATCTTCCTTCCCAGCACGCTGTCCATCTCCACTTTCTGTATCTCAAACATTTACTTGTAAAAACCTCTAACACAAGGACTGTGATTTCCTATGCAAAATATGGAGCACAGTATTTTCTAACAGCATCTATCTAATGCACCATCAACCTCTGATCACTAAACACTTTTATGGCAACATATATGACGAACCAGAAGCCCAGAAATTCCCTGTGCTCTGAAGAATGTAATGAACACAGGTAAAAAGCTACATACACTGTCCTTCCATAATATATTCTACAACAGCCATTTAGTGAGCATATATCAACAGCCTGTATGTAATGCCCACATGCACTCTTTCAGGCACTAACATTACATACTCTTCTGCCTTATGGCATTGATTAAAGGTAGAATGATCATCACTGTATCTTGCTGACATCCACTAAATGTCTCTTAACGGCCACTCCAAAACCTTACAAAATATTTTCCACAACTCATCTGGGCAAGGGGAGCAACAAACAGGGGTAGGGTGGAAAGAAACTCCTTTCCTGGAATTATCTGGAAAAAAAACAGGTAGCAAGGGATTGCATCTTACCTGGGGTGTTCTGGAGGAGCTTGGGCTACTGGCAGCTGAAGACACCATGCTCACGTTTGGGTTCATACTTCTCTCTCTCTCATCCTGATATATACGATCCCGCTCCGAGTCAGGCAAGTTGAGGAAATTCTGCATTGCCCGTAAGTTTACCAGGAGGGACTGGGAAGCTGTCCTAGGGTCTTCTTCTTTACGCAGGATCTCTGACAACAAACCCTGGTTTAAAAAAAAAAAAAAGCCAGTCATGCGTGATGAGTTTCTTTGGTTTTTAAAAATTTCTTTAGTTTAACCAGCTGGGTTGCAATACTGAGAAACTACATCAGAATCTCATGGGCTCTCCCTGAGGGGATATTTTGTAGGAAAGTGTTTGTCTTCTGGGGGCTGGGGTTTATTTTGGGACTGTCCTATTCCGGCACAGTAATAAGCTTCTGAGTATGTAGATGCTGGATAGGAAGGTAGGTGCACTGGTTAGAAGAAATTGCATTTATCACCAGGTGCTTGCTGCAAATATTTTAGGAGCTGTTAGATTCTCTCTCTTTTTACTTGAAAATGGGAACGCTTGGCAATCCTGTTCATCTTTGACAAATCTGCCAAGGTTGGTAAATTTAGTTTCGACATTTAAACAGTGCAGGAGGTTTATAAAGAAAAATGTTTGGCTGGGTTTTGATGTTACAGTCCGCTCATTTCAGTTTGGACAGTCATTTCCGAAAGGAGAAAAATGAAGCAATAATAAACCCTTAGAATCTAGCTTTAGGGATTTAACCCATTCTTTCCTGCCTCATTTTAAAATACCATGGGCTTCACATTGCAACTGTGAATGAACACCATATTAATCTAGTTCTTACAAAAGCCATTATGCAGCATTTCTAACAAATAAACAGTAAAAAATAAAAGAATTGGAGAGGTGAAAATGTCATTAAAAGAGGCTTAAATCTAATGATGGGATTAAATTTATGTGTAAGAGTACACACTCGCACTCAATAGTTCCACAGATTATCTAAAAGTTAAAGGCACAGCACACAAATCTGGATCAGGGCCTACAGAAAGCACCAAGGACACAGCATGTGCCACCAGCTTCACACAGGCACCCCGTCCGACACTTCACAAACTGGGACTTCATTCCAAATAGCAGGAACAGCAAATTTCTGAACTATACCTGGTTTAATGTACTGGCATGCAAGGAAGCAGAGAGGGAGCATTTCTGTCCATCAAGGCTACTTAATATAACACCTTAATGTAAATATCATTATGATATCAAAATGATACCTTACCGTTAATATGCAATTCTATGTGTTCATTATTTCAAAAGGCTATTCTGCCAATATGCTTCCCTGAGCCATCTGACACTGCTCCTGCTCCCCTCCTGTCACAACCCAGAGGCTGCACCGCTGCTCCCAGGAATGCCGGCCACAGAAGCCGTGTGAAATCCCAGTTGGAGCTGGGAGGGCTCACCTTGGCCTGCTCTGGGAGAGGAGCAGCTCAGCAGCACAGGGACCTGCAGGCCCCGCTGTGGCTGTTGACATGAGTGCTTTGCAGCTACTTCACAGCCGTGACCCAGGCAAGCTGCTTCCCGAGGACAGGCACAGCTTACTCCCTTCTTGTCAGAAAAATGTTACTAGAAAGCAACCACAATACCTCAAGCCCTGCAATATTTAGTTTTCATTTATTTTCTTCCATATCAGAGAGCCTCCTTCAAAAAAGCACTTACTAGAAAAGGCTTGCTAAAAGGACTATCAATACAGTTGGCCAAGTAACCAAATGCCAACATTTTTAATGTATATTAACCTTATTTACCAGTCTTCCTGACAAAACCATCTGACCAACAAATGACATACCTGTACCTGCATTTATCTGCTATTCAACAACTACACTAAAATACACATGTAAAACCTCTACTTCAGCAGAGTTTATACCTCAAGTGCTCTAAGCAAGCCCCACACACAACCTGAAGGTAGGCTTCACTTTTCAGCTCCTCATTTACATAATCAAGCTGAGACACTCCCAGTTGCATTTTTCTGCAATGATCAATGTGGGCACCAGAAGGACTGGAGCTGGGAATGGAAGCATGGTTAGCAACACTCAGAAGTGGGATGCGAGAGAGAAGCTGGCATGAAAAAGGTCTGCTCTTTGGGAACAAGCAGTGCTGGGCTGCCCTCTGGTATTTTGTGTGACCTCAACATAACTGCATGCTCGTACCTGGCTTCTTCTTCAGGGTTTAACCACCTCTCCAAGAAGCAAAGGACATTTTGAAAACCTTTCTAAAGTTTGAAAGGCTCATAGGCTGGGGGAGGTTAACCAAAAAAGTACATACAGGAGCTTGAAGCCACAACCTGCATGATTCCAGGACCGATGCAAGTCCTTATTACAATTTCCCCTAAAGTCAGTGAAGAATTTTTTAAATGCAGTAAATAAAGGAAATATTGGTTCCACTGATTCTCTAAATTTCTAATTCCCTGTGTCTTTGAAGTGATATGTATATAAAACTTATTTTTAAATGAAAAAATCAACTTCAAAAATTAATGAGTTTAGTATGAAAGAAAGGGACCTGAAAGCTAGGGGAGCAGACTCTAAGAGAGTTTTTTTCTCCTTCCCATTTTAGCCTCACTAAATTTATGGTCCAATTTCAAAAATGGAGAGCAGAAACATACGTGAAAGCATGCCAGCAATTACTTTTCCATGCAGTCATTGACTCTGTATGTAAATCAGAGGCTCACAGGTATGAGTGGCTTGCTCATAGCACTAAGATGTATCTCACTGCCTGAGATACCAACCCTTGTGCTTGCAGGCTCTGATTTATCACCACAAACATCTTTTCATGCGGTAGATTTGGTGCCTGCGCTGCTGCTCCCGCGAGGCTCTCAGCCTGCAATGCTGCAGGGACGCAGCGGTGTTTGCAGCACCGTGTTCCATCACAGGCTGGGAGCCTCTCCCTTTAAGGCAGGCACCTGCTTCAGGGGGGACTTGCTGCTTCCCCAGCACCAGGACACAGCAGCCGCCGGCAGGGGTGAGCCCTGCTCCCCGTGCCCTGCTCCAGGCCCACAGGTTGGAAATCTGGCTGCCAAGTGGGTTTTTCTGCAGCTCCTCTAAGTGCTTTGGCAGCTTAGAAACCATGTAAACAGCAGGAGAGCTAATAAGAAAACTGACTCATGAGGGACAAATCTCGTGTCCTCCTGCAACTGAAGATAAACAACAACAGCGGTAAACAGCAGCAGCAGATAGCTGAGTGATAGGGGAGGATAATAAAATAAAGTGTCTTGAGAGCAATAACGTTGACAATAATATAATTCTGAGCTACTGAAGAATACGCAAACTAACCAGTGAGCAACATTAAAAAAAATAAAGTGATATTAAATAATCTGTTCAGCCTTTTTGTCACCTGCAACAAATTAGGCTTTCAATATGCAAAACATCTTCCTTCCAGAAAAACAAATGATCATGATTTCATTTAATTGTAATTTAATGAGGCATAATGTATTTTTTAAAGTGATATACACCAGGTGTTTGGTGAGGAAACTGGCCCAACCAGACAAACCCTACTGTTTCTATTTTTGAGAAAGCCCTAAAGCCAGCCAGAGACTGTTTTCATTTCTGCAAATTATGTTTCTACTGGAGGGGGTGAGGGAGGGAAACTCACAGCATTCATAGATTTCTTATAAAATTCCACTGGCTAAATTAGCTCATTCTGACTTACTTACATCTCACATATTAAAAAATAAAAAAATAAAAAAATTGGCAGTTTGCAGAGCAACCAATTCTGCAAACCTAAAAGATCATCTTCAGAGACTAGAAAGTCTCAGTATGATTTTAAATAGCCAAACAGATCTACACAGAACACAGCTCCCAGGATAAATTTTAGGACATGTAGCTTGATAATATCTTTGCTTTTCCACTCCTCTGCATCATTTTTAAACCGGCTGCTGAAGAGGCAACTGATGAAGTTTAATGTTCACACAGGCTGTGCTAGCAAATGAGGGGTGTGATCACCCTAAGACAAGGGCTCTGCAGAGCCTGGTTTACCCTTGGAACTTGCGCTATTTTTAAAATTACACACTGGATCTGTAATTGACTTTAGGAAAATAATACCTGTGGTGGAGAAAAAAGCACATGTCCAATCAAAACAAAAAAGTCATTGAATCTATTTAAGGCAGGAGTAATTTTGACTGTGTTTCTTCAAACTAGGTGAAATGCAGTCCCTTCAGGCCAGCAAAGTCACTGTCACAGGGGTTTGCTTTGCATTTTTTCTATGAAACCCCATTTGTGAACTTCTTTTACTTTTATTAACTACAGGATTTCCAGGACAAACAACCCAAACCTCACTGGCACCTAATCTGTTTTTAAGCAGCTTCTGCGAGATGATACAGTACAATGTAGAGCGAACGTTATTCCATGTGACTCCAACATGCAGTGGACCAACTGACCAGACTCTGAGGCAAACACAGGCTTGGCCAAAGCACACAGAAGCTGAGCAAAGCCTCTGTGCCCTCTTCCCAAAGGGCTGCTGCTCAGGCCTGGCAAGGGTGTCAGTGAGACCTCAGTGGGGCAGCAGACTGCACGACCAGTGACCAAAGGCAGGACAATTTTGCAACCAGCACTTCTGAAAAGCAATCGGGATGGGGCGAGGCGGTGCTGCTGGAGTGCAGCCCAGGCACTCGTGTCCTCGATGCTGAGGGCCATGGGGCAGCAGGACACTCCCAAGCACTGGACAGGGCCTCACACACATCACGTTCAATGACTTGGATGGAAGTCATATTCTCCCCCTTACTGACCTAAGCGATTTGACTACAAAACCAGGCACTAACTTTAAAGACGTTCAGAATAGGCTTTGGACAATCAAAACACTGGCCAAGGCAAAAATTTAAGTAAACCCAACTAATGTGCTAAACCTCAGTTTATATGTTCTGTATAAGGAAATTATATATATGAAGGACTGAAAAAGCATAAACACCTTTTCAGACTTTCAGTCTATTTGTGCCTCTCCATACTTCAGCTATGGCCAAGAGCAACAGAGAAAATGCTGAAATACCAGAAAAATATTGCTTCTGCAGTGCTTAAAGTTCCAAGTACTTTTAAGCCCTGCACTTGTACAGACAAGTCTCAATAGAGAAGTTATTCTGCTTTCCATCAGGGTTAGATGTAACCCTGAGCAGGATGAGAAAACGTAGAGATTTATTCTATTTCAACATCTGGATCTTAAAGGTCAGTGATGTCAACCAACC